GGTTTTGCCTGCAGACCACTAGATGGGAACAGCCTCTAAGAGCCATCTACCATGGAGAGTATGGGTTGCCTCTAGGGCACCATCTAGTCTTGGGTCTTGGGTCCATGATAAAACCAAAAAAATTTACATATTGGCTAGTATGGGTTGCAGCCCAAGGCACCAGAGACTAGAGCAGCCTCTAAGGGCCATCTAGTCTTGGGTCCATGATAAAACTAAAAAAATTTACATATGGGCTAGTATGGGTTGCAGCCCAAGGCACCAGAGACCAGAGCAGCCTCTAAGGGCCATCTAGTCTTGGGTCCATGATAAAAAAAAAAATTTACATATGGGCTAGTATGGGTTGCTGCCTAGGGCACCAGAGACTAGAGCAGCCTCTAAGGGCCATCTAGTCTTGGGTCCATGATAAAACTAAAAAATTTACATATGGGCTAGTATGGGTTGCAGCCCAAGGCACCAGAGACTAGAGCAGCCTCTAAGGGCCATCTAGTCTTGGGTCCATGATAAAAGTAAAAAATTTACATATGGGCTAGTATGGGTTGCTGCCTGGGCACCAGAGACTAGAGCAGCCTCTAAGGGCCATCTAGTCTTGGGTCCATGATAAAACTAAAAATGTACATATGGGCTAGTATGGGTTGCTGCCTAGGGCACCAGAGACTAGAGCAGCCTCTAAGGGCCATCTAGTCTTGGGTCCATGATAAACTAAAAAAATTTACATATGGGCTAGTATGGGTTGCTGCCTAGGGCACCAGAGACTAGAGCAGCCTCTAAGGGCCATCTAGTCTTGGGTCCATGATAAAAGTAAAAAAAATTTACATATGGGCTAGTATGGGTTGCTGCCTAGGGCACCAGAGACTAGAGCAGCCTCTAAGGGCCATCTAGTCTTGGGTCCATGATAAAACTAAAAAATTTACATATGGGCTAGTATGGGTTGCTGCCTAGGGCACCAGAGACTAGAGCAGCCTCTAAGGGCCATCTAGTCTTGGGTCCATGATAAAACTCCATAATAAAAAAAATTTACATATGGGCTAGTATGGTTGCAGCCCAAGGCACCAGAGACTAGAGCAGCCTCTAAGGGCCATCTAGTCTTGGGTCCATGATAAAACTAAAAAATTTACATATGGGCTAGTATGGGTTTGCAGCCCAAGGCACCAGAGACTAGAGCAGCCTCTAAGGGCCATCTAGTCTTGGGTCCATGATAAAACTAAAAAATTTACATATGGGCTAGTATGGGTTGCAGCCCAAGGCACCAGAGACTAGAGCAGCCTCTAAGGGCCATCTAGTCTTGGGTCCATGATAAAACTAAAAAATTTACATATGGGCTAGTATGGGTTGCTGCCTAGGGCACCAGAGACTAGAGCAGCCTCTAAGGGCCATCTAGTCTTGGGTCCATGATAAAACTAAAAATTTACATATGGGCTAGTATGGGTTTGGCCCAAGGCACCAGAGACTAGAGCAGCCTCTAAGGGCCATCTAGTCTTGGGTCCATGATAAAACTAAAAATTTACATATGGGCCAGAGACTAGAGCAGCCTCTAAGGGCCATCTAGTCTTGGGTCCATGATAAAACCAAAAATTTACATATGGGCTAGTATGGGTTTGCTGCCTAGGGCACCAGAGACTAGAGCAGCCTCTAAGGGCCATCTAGTCTTGGGTCCATGATAAAACTAAAAAATTTACATATGGGCTAGTATGGGTTGCTGCCTAGGGCACCAGAGACTAGAGCAGCCTCTAAGGGCCATCTAGTCTTGGGTCCATGATAAAACTAAAAATTTACATATGGGCTAGTATGGGTTGTTGCCTAGGGCACCAGAGACTAGGTCCAGCCTCTAGGCTCTTGGGGCCACCGAGCAGCCTCCTACATATGGGCCATCTAGTCATCTAGTTGGGTCCATGATAAAACTAAAAAAAATTTACATATGGGCTAGTATGGGTTTGCAGCCCAAGGCACCAGAGACTAGAGCAGCCTCTAAGGGCCATCTAGTCTTGGGTCCATGATAAAAAAAAAAAATTTACATATGGGCTAGTATGGGTTGCTGCCTAGGGCACCAGAGACTAGAGCAGCCTCTAAGGGCCATCTAGTCTTGGGTCCATGATAAAACTAAAAAATTTACATATGGGCTAGTATGGGTTTGCAGCCCAAGGCACCAGAGACTAGAGCAGCCTCTAAGGGCCATCTAGTCTTGGGTCCATGATAAAAAACTAAAAATTTACATATATGGGCCTGGGCACCAGAGACTAGAGCAGCCTCTAAGGGCCATCTAGTCTTGGGTCCATGATAAAACTAAAAAAATTTACATATGGGGTATGGGTTTGCAGCCCAAGGCACCAGAGACTAGAGCAGCCTCTAAGGGCCATCTAGTCTTGGGTCCATGATAAAACTAAAAAATTTACATATGGGCTAGTATGGGTTTGCAGCCCAAGGCACAAGAGACTAGAGCAGCCTCTAAGGGCCATCTAGTCTTGGGTCCATGATAAAACTAAAAAATTTACATATGGGCTAGTATGGGTTGCTGCCTAGGGCACCAGAGACTAGAGCAGCCTCTAAGGACCATCTAGTCTTGGGTCCATGATATAACTAAAAAATTTACATATGGGCTAGTATGGGTTGCAGCCCAAGGCACCAGAGACTAGAGCAGCCTCTAAGGGCCATCTAGTCTTGGGTCCATGATAAAACTAAAAAATTTACATATGGGCTAGTATGGGTTGCAGCCCAAGGCACCAGAGACTAGAGCAGCCTCTAAGGGCCATCTAGTCTTGGGTCCATGATAAAACTAAAAAATTTACATATGGGCTAGTATGGGTTGCAGCCCAAGGCACCAGAGACTAGAGCAGCCTCTAAGGGCCATCTAGTCTTGGGTCCATGATAAAACTAAAAAATAAAGATACAAGAACAGAGGAGAGTTGTTTATTTTCAGATTTAATGGGGTTCCTTTGAACGAATTTGGAACAATTTAGAGTATTTTGGGCCTCCCTAGTTGGAGTGGATATTTAAAATTCGATGAATCTAGAATTTCTGTGTAATACAGACACTTCATTCCAGATACATTTCTGTAGGATCTAAAGTTCAGATAAAAAATATTGTGAAGTTGCTAATTAAATAAATTGGATGGGTTCCAAATCCATTGAAAATTTTAGTTGAAATGTTTCATGTTTTACACCAAAAAGCATCATCTAAAAATATATGTATTTTTTTATAGACATATGAGGGCAAACCTACATAATGAAGGAGAATTCAAATTCTGTTAGCCCAGGGGGCTTTTAAGGTCTAAATTTGGCTCTGGTTATACAGAAAAAATTATAAAGCTTAAAGCTAAGCATACCCATATCTTCAGAATTTCTAGGTACTGGATTGTCACTGGCTTTTGTCTATTTATTCACCCATTACATATATATATATATATATATATATATATATAAGATTTCATTGATAATATCATTATTAAACTAAAGATGTCCTTTCAAAGAATGAAAGATGTAATGTTAAAGTTTATCCATTTTGGCTTTAAAATTATTATCCAGAACATCCTATATATGTAAGATTCCATCAATAAAACCATTATTAGTCCAAAATGTATAACATAGGAGATTTTTCCATTTTATTATTCAATTACCCACTATTAGTCTGATATATAGATTTTTCACATTTTCTTTAATAATTTTATTGAAGCATGTCAATTTATCATGGAAATAGAAAGCAGAAATATGAATCTATGGTTTATCATTGCAGATAACGTGGTGATTTTGTCCAACATCTTCAATCTGGATGGATTTTACCTTACAAGGAACATGTTGGTACCAGTGTGTGTACTACTGTCTGCTCTACATATGTGCTTTTGTGTGGACCTCACCTATACTGTGGAAGAAGGGAAGAGTCCAGGCAGCTATGTGGGAGACATTGCTGCTGACTCACACTTAATGGACACTGTTCGACCTCAAGACCGCAGTCTTATCACATTCAACCAATTACAGGTGAGACTGCCTGGTAGTTCCCAGATGTTTAGTGTTAATAAAAAGACCGGAAAACTGTACACAGCTCACATACTGGATGCAGAATCAATGTGCAAGCATAAGAAAGAATGTTTTGAAATTGTAGAAGTGGCCATTCAGAAAGGTGCATCATTCATGAGAGTTTTAGAGATCAAAGTTATAATACAAGATGTCAACGACCATGTACCTGAGTTTCCTTACAAACAGGTGAACATAGAATTTTCAGAGGAATCAACAAAAGGGACAAGAAGATCAATCCCTAATGCTGTTGATAAAGATATTGGCATCATCAATTCTCAGATTACTTATCAGCTTAAGAAAAATGCCAATGATCCATTTACATTGTCTATATCTGAGAGTGTGGATGGAACATCAAAACTTGGAATCAACTTAGAAGAGACTCTAGACAGAGAAGTGCAAGACTCATATATGGTTCAGGTGATTGCCAAAGATGGAGGATCTCCGCCAAAACAAAGCGTCCTGGATGTTTACATTTTAGTAACTGATGTCAATGATAACCCTCCCATTTTCTCCCAAAATGTCTACAATGTTTCAATCAAGAATGAACCAAGTGAAACATCTGCTGTTGCTATTCTGTCTGCAAGAGATGCTGACTCTGGTAAGAATGGTCAGATTTCATACCGTTTTAGTTCAAAAACATCAGAAATTGCTAAATCGCATTTTGAGATTAATGAGATGACTGGTGAAGTTTTTTTAGCTAAGGAATTTACATTAGAGCAGGAGCTGACACATGAATTATACATTGAAGCAACAGATGGAGGTACTCCTCCACTGAGTTCCATAGCATTGGTTCTAGTGAATGTGATCAACCAGCAGAACAATGCCCCAACAATAGATGTTAATTTTGTCTCTGAGTCAACTGAAAATACAGTTTCCATTCCAGAAAGTATTAAAGTTGGCAGTTTTATTGCTTATGTAAGAGTTATTGACCCTGATGTCGGGCAGAATGGAGAAGTGAGTTGTGTCCTCCATCATGACAAATTCCAACTGCAGAGTCTGGGAAAGAAGCGCTACAAAGTGACCCTTAAAAAGCCGTTAGACAGAGAAACTGATGATCATCATGACATCACCATCACTTGCCAAGACAAAGGTGCTCCCCGTCTTCATAGTGAGAGTAAGTTCATCATTCGCGTAGTGGATGTAAATGATGTACGGCCCCAATTCTCTCGGAAGATATACAAATTTAGCATCAGAGAAAACGAGAGAGCAAAGTATCCTGTGGGTTACATCAATGCCACAGATCCAGACTTGGGACCTGGTGATAAGCTGACTTACTCTCTACGATCCAATGACAAACATTTTTTACCCTTTCAAATCAATGACAATGGCTTGATCTCAACTGTTATGTCTTTAGACCATGAATTTCAGGACATCTATGAATTTCAAGTTTTTGTGAAAGACAACGGGAAACCACCACTCAATAACACAGTGAATGTCATTGTCGAAGTCAGAGATGAAAACGATAATGCCCCACATTTCACTCATCCCAGTGTTAACCCTTTCACAATGGATGTGGTTTATTACCCACATCGCACAAAAAACATCACAATCTTAAGAGCAACTGATAGAGACAGCCGGCAGAATGCATTTCTAAAATATGAAATCACTGCAGGCAATGAAAAACAGTTGTTCACAATCAACCATTACACTGGGTTGTTGTCTTTTACTCGTGTAGTCACACAGCAAGATGCTGGAACCTATGACTTACAGTTTGTTGTCATGGATAGTGGTAATCCATTTCAATCTGCCACCACTAATCTAACTTTGGTCTTGTCTGTGAGCAACAAGACGTTTGAAATGTACAATGTTGTTCACATACAGGCTGATGAAGCTGAGGAAAATATTCAAATTGATTTTCTAATAGCTATAGTGTCAGTCGCTGTAACAATATCTGTAGTAATTACAGCTTTCATTTCTATTTGCTATATTCGGTATAACACTCGGAGAAAGGACTCACAACGAAGTGGAATGAACTCTTCAAAAATATGTGAACAGCGACAGCTGATGTTCCCTTCAAATCAAGCTACTTCTTTTACTGACGCTCCAGCTACCTGGATAGAAGAGCCAGACATGGCCAGGAGTGGTCACACGAGAACAGAATCCCATCTAGGGAGTGACATTGAACACAAAGGTACTGCATCAGGAATGGATCTCCAGACAGCTGCGGAGGTTGTGTATCAGGTAAAATCACAAATTTTCATTTTGACTTCAAACTTTGGAACTGCTTATTAAATTATCTGTACCAATAACAACTCATATTTTTTATTAGTTGCAGTATACACACACACACACACACACACACACACATACATATATATAAAATAAATAAATCCTAATGAGTCAGGTACTACCCACCTAGGTTTTACCACATGAGATCATCAGGGTGAAGTTAGTGTATTGAGCACTCTTGAGTTTAAATTATTATTCACTGGGTTTTTTTTTTCTTTGTATCAGAGATTTATGGTACTGGACGATTTCTTTCGCCCTGTTCAGAGGTTTCTGGTGCTTTCTTTTTTGTCCATTTTTCCTTGGGTGCCAATTTATTTGAAAATTGTGCTATGCAGGTTTTTTCACCCACCAAGTTCAAATAGATTTACATTATATATATATATATATATATATATATATATATGAATGAAAAAAGACTATTCTTAGTCGGTGTATTTCGTCCTTTGAGGGACTATATCAAGGCAAATGTGCATATGTACCGTGATAAAGTCCCTCAGAGGATGAAATGAGCTGACTAAGGATAGTTTTCCCATTGTCTTTTTAATTTTTATCTATTTTGTTCCTTTACAGACACACTGTATCTGGAAATAATTTGCACAAACACACACACACACACATATATATATATATGTATATATATTTTGAGGGAAGGCATATTTAATATCAGCAACACACCATTTATATATATATACGGTGGCCTGAAGATTGCTTGAAAGACAAAACTGACAGTCACTATACAGTGTTATATCCACACTGCTTTTCTGACTTTCTCTCTCCCCTCTGTATATATATATATATATATATATATATATATATATATATATATATATGATGTAAACATTTATTTTATTTAAATAAGTAGTATTGAATATGACCAACAAGGAGAATTTTATTCATTTTTCTTGAAGGAATAATTTTTTTATTTTAAATTGACAAATCTCGCCTTGATTTTATGATATATATATATATATATATATATATATATATATATATATATATATATATATATATATATATATATATATATATTATTTTATTATATTAAGTTATTTTAGACACTCCTTTTATTCAATTAAAAAGCATATCTATATAGTTTTGAATACTGGCCTGAATATTAAAGAAATTTTATTAAAGAAAGATATGCACTCTCTGACAGGATTTGACCCTACATGGCTGAGTTAATCTAAAGCACATCAGATCTAATAATGGCTTCTCCTGCCAAAGGGGATGCAGGTTCAAATCATGCTAGAGAGTGCATATTTTTCTTCATTAAGATTTCTTGAATATTCAGGCCAGTAGACAAAAATAAATAAATATACTGTTTAATAAATAAAGAGAACGTCTACTCAAATATTGGTTACCAACTAAAAATAATATTTAAGCAATAAAATCTGTTGGATTAAGAAATCAAAATCCATCACTTCTTTAGAAAATATATATATATATATAGAGAGAGAGAGAGAGAGAGAGAGAGAGAGAGAGAGAGGTAAAATAAGAACAAATGGAGTATGATTCCACTGTATGTAACATAATTTAAAAGAGGGCTCAGTACATAATGGATCTAAATATTATTTATTTTAGGATATTAAAACATGTTAAAAATCACTATACAATTACAATTATGTTTGAACATCATAAATGTCTCTCTTCAGGTGATGCTAAACTACTAGCGAGTGAAAGACTACTTAATGTTTCACTCACCAGTAGTTTAACATTGCCTGAAAAGACACATTTATGATGTTGAAATATAATTGTAATTGTGTAGCAATTTTTAAAATGTTTTAATATCCTAAAGTGAAATCTGAAGATCCAGAGAATAATAAATTCTTTGGTGAAATAAATTATTACAATGGTACCTTAAAATGGTTTGTTTTTTCTTTAAATTAAATTATTCGCTCTGACTGAACATTGAGCTCTCTGGATTTCATCCTCCTTGGGATTATCCATACAGATTACCAAGATTTTTTTAATTTATATATATATATATATATATATATATATATATATATATATATATATATATATATATATATGTGTGTGTGTGTGTGTTTTAAACAACAGTTATTTTCTGAAAAAAGTTGTATTGAACTTTTTTTCTTATCAGAAAAATTAAAATAAATTTAGAACACTCTCTTTGATTCAATGCATATGTATATAATAGCAGGTTTCTAATTTCTGAGTATGCCCATTTAGTAGGCTAACTAACCAGTTATTGTAGATGATATCTGTTCGTTTCTTCACTACCTGTAGATCATACTTCAACTTTACTGAGTGGTTCTTAGTTACCATATATGGGGGGGAGAGTACATAATCTGTTATGCTCCATCATTGAATATGACTAGTATACTCAAACACTCAGTCACAATGACTTTTTGCTAGTACAACCAACAACATTTTCTAAAGTTTTGTCTTACCCATTTCCTTCACAAAGCTTGTGTCTTGGCATGGTTTTGTTATATGCTGGGATTATAATAGTGTTTTTTCTCATATTCTCTCACACTCAGTAACCCTTTATGTTTTAGTGGCTTTATTGCTTTGCTTGGGGTGAAATGATATTAAAAAAGTTTTTCAATAAACTACAGATGTGCTGAGTGAGCATATTTGAATGTGAGACAGTAAAGTTCTTGTGTTGTGTGTATGTAAGTAACAATGTGTTGACAGGAACATTTAAGTACTCCCATTTGTGTATAGATGAGAAAGAAAGATTGTTTTGGGCAAAATAGTTACTTTGAAGTGTAGTTTCCCTGGAATGGATTTTAATATAGTTGTTCTGTTCTTTTGTCCAGTTGGATTGCCACTGTTTAAAAACTTATTACCCGGTTTTCTCATATGGCTCAGAAACAAGATCTTCAGGTCTGATTTTGATTAGATTTGATATCTGTTTCAACCTGCTGCATACTGACTGCTTTTTGCTCATTTCAGCTCTCACTCTGAGAACCACCCAGTCAGTATCTGACTTTCCCTGCTACAAGAGCCAGATCAAACCAAAAATGGAGTATTGTTGCCATATCTGGTCTGGAGCTGCTCAGTTCTCTTGAATGTCTTGATAGTGTTCAAAAGTGTCTATGTGTCCTTGTGGGTGATGAATTATTTTCCACACTACAACACCTTTCCCACAGATGAAACATTGCTAGTTTCTCACTACTCTATTGCTATTTCCATGCATCTGTTCTGACACGCTATGTTCCTTTGTCTCAACTTTCATAATCTTTACAATTGGAACCCATCATGCCAAACATTAGTATTAAAAAAAAAGATTCCATATCCAGTTTAGTAGCTGGTAGAATCAGGCACTGCAGTATAGTCAGCCAGCAAGTGCACCACGGTCTGGTGGACCACACCTGGATGTGTAATGTGCACTTGTCTTTGTGTGATAAAATACAATTTACAAAGTTCGAAAACTAAGTGAATTCAACTTGATCCTTTATTTATCGGACATGTTATGCCAGCTGATGCACAGTGGTTGGTCGGGCAGGATGAAAAGCAGGTATTCATTACAGCAATGCTTGGGAGACAAAAAATATAGCTTGAATTTAAAAAGGATGATATTAATTCATGTTGAATTCACAAGTGTTACATGACAGCCAGTGAGTAACCTGAATTTGTTGGGTGAAGAACCCCAGTTGCTATATAGGTTGCAATGAAAAAGACATCATAAGCCGACAGTGGTAAGGTAAACAAATGGAAACCATGTGGTCCCACCAAGGAACACAGAGGACACCAACGGCCTGGCCGTTTTCCCTTCAGGAAATATTACAAGTAAGACCCTCTTGATTTTCACTCATTCATACTGCTTGTTTTATCCATGTGTGTTATACTTTCTCTCTTGGGGACAAATAGTGACAGGTATATAAATATTTGTGTATAATCCTTCATATGACATAGTGTTATATAAAACCTCTTTGAGAATAATGCATATGTGTCATTACTTTCTTTCAGCCATTCTGGTCCTTCCATCTGCAGTGTTATGGTGTTAATATATCATGGATATACTAATGCCTATAAGGGGACAAATGGAAAATTCTCTCTTTGCAAGCACCCCCATTAATGTTATTTAGCACTGAACAACTTAATATAATATTGTTAATTAAAAGTCAGAAAGCCTTTACAAGCAAATGTTCAAATCTGAAGATATTTTTATGCCTACTTCTTTCACATCTGAAAGCAATTACAAAAATCTTTGCTCTCCTGTACTATAGGAAATTGGAACCTCATCTGGTGGTAAACGACGTAAGAAAACGGCATTGATGTACCCTGACTGTCACAGGGTTGTGTCTATGTTGTCTTCACATGCAGAGAATGAAGAAAACTGGAACAAAGGAAACACAACAAACAGTGAAGAAACACCAGGTATGTGTACTACAACCAATCAAAGACTCACCTAGGTAAATTAGTTTTGGTTTTAAATCAAATTCTTTTGCTTACTTTACTATTTAAAGTTATTAATCTTAACAATGTCTTTTATCTATAGGCTGTAAACAGAATTAGTATTTGTTTCATCTTAATTTCAGTTGCATTTTATTGCATTTATAATACTAGTAGTAATATTATTTTCCATTTTTTTTTATTAGCTGAAATCTTGTTAATTACTTTTTGACTAGTGTTTCTTCTACCTTAATTTCACTTGCTTTTTATTACATTCATAATATCAGTGGTAATATTTTTTAGAAATTCTTATAATTGAATTATTGTTAAACATTAATTTTTAACTAGTATTTGCCTCATCTATTTTTGTTGCTTTTTATTATATTCATAGCATGAATAATAATATTAGTTTTTGTTTCATCTTATTTTGTTGCTTGCTTATAACCTGTAGGAATAAATATACTGTATATACTTATGTATAGTGCAATCCTTGATTTTTTTGCATGAATTTTAGCCCCTCCAGAAAAGAATTACCTGTGTATAGTGCAACTGGTCATTGAAAATGCATGATTTTTAACCTCTTCAAAGAAAATTACCTGTGTTTGGAGCAACCCCCTATTTTTTGCATAAAAAATGATCATAAAACTCACACAATACTCAAATATATGTGGTCATTGTCTTAAATTGTCTAAATTTCTCAGGTAAAGTATTAATGTTTTGACTAGTTATTCTATTTTTTTCACTATCTTTCTAACAAGTCATAACAGTACACAGATATTAAAGAACATGAAGCTGTGGAGATCCACAACAACCAATCTTCTGAAGGAATCTGATATAAAAAATATACACATGTAATGGATGGTATTAAACTGGATTGATCAATGTTTAGTAAAACCTGTGACAGACATAAAAACTGGTTTTAAAATTTATGATGTGGGGATTTTAATTGAATGACTATTGCAAATATTTTTCAGCTATGTATAATGTAATGGGGGAGGTCATACTCATACACTTAGGTATTAATGCAAAAATATTTTAATATAGTTTTCATTTCTATTATAAATGCCAATGATTAAAATGCTAAGAAAAGTTTTATTTGATAGTTTATCTCAATATTTTCAATGTGATGGTTGACCTCGGGGCTTACTGTCTAAGGCTTTAGGTTCCATGTTGTTTAGAAGTAATCATAGATCTCTTCATTTTGTAACTTGCAGGTGGCTTCTTTGTTTAGTAAGAAGCTGTGTAACTATATTGAAATTGCCTTCAGCCAGGAAGTTGGAAAAGCAATAAAGAAAAGTTTGATAGCTTCCCACAGCTTTAAATACGTTTCAGAAATTTCCTTTTGTAGCCAATACTGAATAATTTTTGAAAATTTGATAAAAAATGGATAAAAGCCCACCACTCCCACCAAATATGTTCACCCCACCCCCAATTAAATAAAACTCCCAGTGCCCCCTAAAAGAGCCTCCAAGAGAAACACTGCTCTCGATAGATGGATGCCTCCCATGACAGAAATTTTGCAATATTTTTTATCTTTCTTTCTTTCTTTCATTTTTAAATAATTCATGTGATTGTTCTTCTTTATGCTGGAGGCTGTGCCTTAAAGTATACAATTTTTAGTCTTAAGAAATAGTTAGAAACAAAGAAAAGAGTACTGAACTGCTATGTAATGTCAGTCCTCATATATGGTAGTGGATCTCATCACAGATGAAGAAGAGATGAAGGAACAGAAATGTGGTTCTGCAGAAGGATGCTGAGAATACCATGGACTGAACATTTGAATAATGACAAAATTTTCAGGGAAAATGAAAACAAAATGACAAAGGACACTTCTAGTTCAAATCAGAAAGAGAAAGCTGAAATTTTTAGGGCACCTCATGAGGAAAGAGGGCATAGAAACACAGGACATTTAGAAGGAAAGAAGGACAGAGGAAAGCAGCACATAACCTACCTAATGAGCTTGTATAAATGCTTGGTAGAACATAGGAGATAGTAAAAAGACAAACTTTACTCAGAACTACAAAAGACAGGAAATTGTGAAGAGTCATGATTGCCCACTGAAAATCCCAATTACTTCCATTCCAGTTTTTTGCATTGCTTGAAACATTACACCGTGAAACATTACATAGCAATTATTTGCAAATTATGACTCAGGGGCTCAGGCAGTATGGTTAAAATTGTTCAGGAGTGCAGAGCTCAAAGGGTTAAGAGATGTCCTTCCAGACTGGTTGCCAACCAAAGCTGAAGAGCCAAGTCTGCCCTACTATTTAACCTATAGCTGGAGGGAGAAGAGATTAATTTATACCTTTCCAAAAAGTATTTATGTGAAAGAGAATGTGACAAAACTAGACTGGAATTTGAACCCAGCTCTCCAATTTCTCATTGCAAGCTGTTATCCATTACTCCACCCATACATCCATAAAATTCACACAGGTAATGATCATTAATACCAAGTCTACTGAGCCATTACACTTAGATTTTACAATTCATGTTCCAATTATTATGTGAGGTTTTGTAATGTTGTGTGAAATGGCGCTTTACAAAATCAAGCAACTTTACATCAACTGCAGTCAAGACCATAGAGTCAGTGGGAACTTCATGATCCTTTCAATGGCTGCATAGTATGTTTTTCTCGATGTCTTCAGAAGATTGAATTCTTTTATATAATAAAACCCAATATAGAAGAATGGAAACCAGGCTACAGAAAGTCTAGATAGAAACAAATCACTATATCCCGACTACATATTGGTCATACACTCCTTTTTATTTAAACAAGAAAACCAGCCAGAAAGCATAGCATGTCAAACACATTATGCTATTAAACACATTATACTGTTAAACACATTATACTGTTAAACACATTCTAATAGTATGTGGTGGCATCATCAGACAATGCTTTTACAATACAAATAACATGAGAGATATATTCGAAAATGTCAGTATAGATAACATTTTGTCCTTCCTGAAAGAAATAAAATTATACCAAAAAATTAAGTGAAAATATAAAAAATATAACAGTCACCTTGAACTTTACCCAAGAAACTTATCCCTGAAAGAAATTCCTAATTCATTTAGCAACAAACAACTGCAGACAACTTACTGTCAAAAGCACAAAAAATCCTTGCAAAAACATAATAAATTTGACTATTGTCAACAATTTATCTCTTGGCATAAAACAACCCCAGATGAGTTGACATGCTATTAAAACCAATCAGTCAAATTTTTTATAACAATTAAAAGTACTTTTAAGCATTTTTTTTATTTGCTCTTTACATTTTGCTGTAAAATTAATGGTATTCTTCATCATAACAACCACTGCTCTTTCATTATATGTCACTGATGATCTAGATTCACTTAATTTCATTATGCAAAATCCCCAAATATTATTTTCTATATGTTTATATCTCATTTCTTTCAGATCAGTACTCTTCTCACTATTCCCTGGCACATACACCTTGGATTGATCAAAATACATATATAACGCCTATGAAACAGAGGTTCTCCTGCCCTGTGGATGCCAGGATGTCCCCCAGACGTATGCGCAAGTCAAATATGGAGGAACCCTCTGAACGTAGACAACAGGCTGGTTTAGCCCCTGCAAAACCATGGACTTTACCAGAAAGCAGAAGACCAAACTTTGATTTCCCACAACTACCTACTGTAGGACAATCAGACTACCAAGGAAATGTAGATCACTTGGTGCAGTTACCTTTAACAAAATACTACGTTCTGGAACCAAATCCAGACAATTCTCCACAAAAATTACATTCCGATTCCTCTGGAGAGGTAGAACATTCTTTACAATTGCCTCTGCCAAAATACTATGTTCTAGAACGTAATACACAAACTCCACCACCTATATTAAACCCAGAATATTCAGAAGAGATAGAAAGGTCAGAAATATCTGTCCACTTACCTCTTCCAAGAGATTATGTTCTAGGATCAGACACAAAGCCGTCCACAAGCATCACTCACTGAACAAACCTTTACTAGGGAGTATAATATCTGCAGTGTTGTGAATAAACCTGTTTGACAAAAAGAGAAAAATAAGATTTAATCACTGGTGATGAATGATCTATTTGATTGCCGGATATGTCATAGAATTCAGGAATTTTTCATTTTCTGCACATGAAACACCTGTACTAATATTCCATTGTTAGAATCTAACAGTGAAGTGAGAATTGTTGACGGTGGAACATAAAAATATAATTAATAGGGTCATTAAAACAAAATTTGAAATCTAAAAAAAACAAAAAAAATAATTATGAGTGAGGGTACCTTTTTAGATTTTAATGGTTTGTTACATAAAATTTCTTATTTTGTTTTATTTATTTATTTAAATATCAAAATTAACTTATTTATGAGGAATTTAGTTGGAGATAATTAGGATTTAGGGAAAAGAAACAAAATATATTTCTTATTTCTTTCAATATTATTGATTATCTATGAGAATAATTAACAATGTAGTTAAAGTGTTGACATCATTATGAAAAAGGTGCAACTTAGAAAGAAGCAATTTGTCTCAATACATCAATTAATCTTTACATCTAATATTTTTAACTAAAACCAAGAATAGAGAGCATTGCTGATTTTACATTTTTATAAAAGAGGAAAAAAAGAGAAAAAAAAGAAAAAAGGTATCTTGAAACACTTCATTTCCTTTCAGCATAAACAGAAAGAGAAAAATGAATGTGAACTCCAGACTGGACACTGAATTGGATTGTCATATGTATGTATGTGTATCTACATATATATGTTATGTTGTAGGGGCCAGAATAAAAACCTGTTATTGGTTATTATTTTACGATGGAGACAGCTTGAATTGAAAGAGAGAGAGAGAGAAAGAGAGATAGAGAGAAAGAGAGAGAGAAAGAGAGAGAGGAAAAAGAGGCTTTGATAGAGGGATTATCATTAATCACAATGGCATACTGCAATCTGAAAGAACAGGAAGACAGAAATGGCATTTGTTTCAATGAATGACATGATAGTTTCTCATTATATATATATATATATATGTTCGTATATATGCATATATATATGGGTTAACAAATGAGAGAAAGGTATCTGTCAGTATTATCTGTACATCATCCTAAACAAAAGCAAAAAAAAAAAATAAACAAAAAAAAAACAAACAAAAAACAAAACAACAATATAAATACACCACAGCGACAGCAACAGGGATCTGTATAAAGGATTTACATTCTGTATCTTAACGGACACAGGTGAGTTTGTGTTCTTATCTTTTTAAACTGTAGTGTCCTGAAAACACACAACAATTTTCTAAACACATGCAAAGATACAGAAATATATCCAAGTCAATTTTTTTTAATTTTATATTTTTTTTTGTAATTGTTGTAGTGCTCTTCAGATATATTTCAGAAAAGCACTCCCCACCTCCCAAATCCATTTTCAAATGATTACATGTTACATATTACATCTGGCCTTTTTATTTTATTTATTTATTGTTTTTATTTATTTTTGTGCATTTTCTAAAAATCTGTTTTGGTGCTTTTCAGACATGTTTCAAAAAAGCACAACCAACCCCACAAAATTACCTGTCAGTGGTTTCA